GGAGACTTCAGGGTTGTCTACCGCTGACGAAGCTTCTGTGAGAGAAGCGAAACGTCCTTTTTTGTTTTTTTTTTTTTTGTTTTTTTTTTTTTTTGTTTTTTGTTTTTTGTTTTTTACCCACAGGTACAGATGACGACTGACAGAACCCTTTCTACGATTCAGTAGGGGACCTATATAAAGAGAGTTTATGTAAGCGTTACAGAGGATATAAAAAGTCTACAGCCCCCCCCCCCCCCAAATCCTATTGAATAATGTGGTTGCACAGGTGTGTACATCTGTCTAATAACTGGAATGTAACTATGTTCAGAATTAACCAATCACATTCATGCTAAAAGGGAGTCAGCACACACCTGCCATGATTTAAAGTGGATCTTACTATGAACCCAAGATTGTTTTTTTTATTTTTCATTTCTGTTAGAGTAGGCCCTGCGATTGGCTGGCAACCGGTTCAGGGTGTCCCCCGCCTACTGCCCGAAGACAGCTGGGATAGGCTCCAGCACGCCCCCCAGCCCTTGTGGGGATAAAGCGGATCAGAAAATGGAGGCATGGATGGATGTTCTAGTAGGCTATTTTGCTCTCTCTCTCTCTCTCTCTCTCTCTCAGATTGAGTTGTTCAGGTAATGGGCCACATTAAGAGTGGAAGAAGTTTTAAAATGATTTATCTTGGTCTCATTGTTTATGTCACAAAAACTTGGCATTTGAAAAGGGTCCTGTAGATTTTTTTGTATACATGCCCTGTATGTAGGCCATTTTCGTTTGAAGCAAAAATGCAATGATTGTGAACCTGTGAGCTGCCTGGGATTGAGTCAGAAACTCATGACAAAATGACACGTATACCTCTCAACCATGGTGTGCTAAAAGTCATGTAAAAAAAAAAAAAAATCTATATCTATATCGTTTTTTCATCATCTTTTCTTTAATCATCTTCTTGATATTCTTTGCAGAGTGTATTTCCATCACAAAGTTTTCTAGCAATTGCTCTCCATAACTGCTGACTTTTTCTTTTGCTCCAACAGTGCGTTTGCTCCAAAACTCAACTTGAAAATGACACTGTCACTGTGTTTACAGCCCACTCTCACATCCCCACCCAACCCACACACACACAGGCACGCACGCACGCACGCACATACTTTGGTGGTACAAATATTTCAGTGACTTTGATTTGTCCTCTGGAGCTCTCGCAGCTATCCCTTGATGCACACTATTGACCGGTGGATGCAAGGCACACATACACAAGCAAGCAGTGTTGGTGGACTTCTTTGAAGAAGCCGACCGTGGAGGACTGGCCTGTCATAGTGGATCATACAGTGAGGACTATTGATCCAGCGGGCCAATATATGGACCTGTACCAATGTAAACGATCCTGGAGGTAGTCGGGCCTTGTAAGTAAAGAAAAAAAAAGCTTCATGTGACTGTCGTTCAATACTGCAGGAATGGATGGTTAAAAAAAGAGAATGAAAAACAACACAGCTGTAGTAAACAGCAATTGATGGAGAGAGCTTGTCTTGACTTATCTCAGCATGTCAGCACAATGCCGCCCTGGTTTCCATCTGTGCGTTAAACTTTACACACGCACGTGTCACTTCCAAATGGTAATCAAAACATTTTACCACAATCAGCAGCTTCCCGCTCTCTCATAACTGGCTAGCATCAAGTCAGTGGTGAGGGAGTGTAAGTATTTGCAAATCGGTCGAAATACAGTGGAAGCTCTAAGATTGTAA